CAGAGATGACTCTCTCCGTTAAGGAGGGAGAAGTTAATAAACTTTTCAAGAGGCAGAACCCACGCAAAGCAGCTGGGCCGGACTCTGTCTCTCCAGCCACCCCCAGGCACTGCGCTGACCAGCTGTCTACGGTGTTCACCAACATCTTTAACACCTCCCTGGAGATATGCCATGTACCAGCCTGTCTGAAGTCATCCACCATCATCCCTGTGCCCAAAAAGCTAAAGCCAACAGGACAAAATTACTATAGACCGGTCGCCTTTACCTCTGTGGTAATTAAGTCTTTTGAGCGGCTGGTTCTGGCACACCTCAAAGCCATCACAGACCCTCTCCTGGACCCCCTTCAGTTTGCCTACAGAGCCAACAGGTCTGTGGACAACGCAGTTAACATGGCACTCCACTTCACCCTACAGCATCTGGACTCCCCAGCATCCTACGCCAGGATCCTGTTTGTGGACTTCAGCTCTGCCTTCAACACCATCATCCCTGCCCTGCTTCAGGACAAGCTCTTCCAGCTGAAAGTGCCCGACTCCACCTGCAGGTGGATCACAGACTTCCTGTCTAACAGGAAGCAGTGCGTTAAGCTGGGAACACAAGTCTCTGACTCCAGGTCCATCAGCACCGGAACTCCTCAGGGCTGCGTCCTTTCCCCACTGCTCTTCTCTCTGTACACCAACAGCTGCACCTCCAATCATCTGTCCGTCAAACTCTTGAAGTTTGCGGATGACACCACCCTCATTGGGCTGATCCTGATCTCTGGTGGGGATGAGTCTGACTATAGGTGGGAAGCTGACAACCTGGTGACCTGGTGTAGCCAGAACAACTTAGAGCTAAATACTCTAAAGACAAATTTTGATTTAAAGCTTTCGTGACTGCAGTAATTCATATTCTTAGTTTTTTCGGTAAAGTCACGTTGAAGGGAAACAACAAAATAATAAAATATATATATATATAAAACAATAAAAAATTCTCGCGACGTTTCGACCATAACTCAAACGGTCGTCTTCAGGTGTGTTGGTTTGCATAAATGTATTTTTAAACGGCGCATTTATTTATTTATAAAAACGTTAGCGCCACGCGCAACGATTTGGCAGTTTATTTAGGACTAGTCCATCTATATTCTGAAAAGAGGAGGGGGGAGACGAAATTTTTATAATGTATGCTGTCTGAAAGCCACTGTAAGCGTGAACAATCAATTAAGACCAGAAATGGTTTATCAAATCTTTCCAATGATTGCTAAGATAGAATCCATCTTCTCGGTTGAAATTGTCTCTGTGCTTGTATATGTGGATAGCCTCATGAACGAATCCCTCATGGAAGCCAGATGGCTTACAAAGAACCTCTGTCTTGGAAAAGTCAATGGCATGTGAGCCTACTGAATTAGAACAATGATCTGTCACGGCCGAGGTGTTGGTCCTACCGTGTTTAAGGTCTGCTTTGTGTTCACGAATGCGGTCCGAGACATGGCGTTTGGTTTCTCCAATGTAACTACTACCACAGAGGCAACTTAGTTTGTAGACACCAGGGTATTGTATTTCCGGAATCACATCTTTTACAGACGGAACCAGATCACGGATTTTATGTAATGTGTTGAAACGGACCTGGATCTTGTGTTTATTCAAGATTTTGGAGATCTTTTTTGTGATCCCCGCAATGTAGGGTAAAGTGATGGTTTTGAAAGGCTCCTCAAGAGGGTTCTTCTTCATGGTTTGAGTGATAGCTTTGCGGATTGTATAGTCGGAGTAACCATTAGCTCTAAGAGCTTGGTGTACGTGCTTGAGTTCACTGCTTATGTGTTCCTGGTCGGATATGCATTGGGCTCTATGATACAGAGTCTTAATGAGAGAATTATTCTGTGATGGATGGTGGTGGGAATCCGGTTTCAGATAAGCATCCGTATGGGTAGCTTTCCTGTAGACAGAGTGGCTGTCTACAGGAAATTAATTAGGACATCCAAAAAAGGTATCTTGCATCTATTTCGACTTCCATGGTAAATCTGATGGTATCGACAATCAAGGGTTTTTCCCTGTCCCCAGACAACCTGCTTGTCAGTTTTGATGTAGTTTCCTTATTCACCAAGGTTCCTGTACCTGACACCATTGCAATCGTTGAAGACTTGGTTAATCAAGGACTATACACTGAGGTACCCCCCCTGGTGAGACACTGTTTAACCAATACATACTTCACTTGGAATGGAACTTTCTACAAACAAACTGAGGGCACCCCAATGGGCTCCCCCCTTTCTCCAGTTATAGCTAACATTTTCATGGAGAAATTTGAGACTGACGCCATCCAGACTGCCAATCTGCGCCCAACCTTATAGAAGAGGTACGTGGATGACACTTTTGTCATCTGGCCACATGGCCGGCCTGCTCTAGACCAATTCTTCGACCACATCAATTCCATACACCCAGCCATCAGATTTACCATGGAAGTTGAAATAGATGGCAAGATACCCTTTTTGGATGTCCTAATTAAAAAGAGACCTGATGGTTCAATGAGCCACTCTGTCTACAGGAAAGCTACCCATACGGACGCTTATCTGAAACCGGATTCCCATCACCATCCATCACAGAAGAATTCTCTCATCAAGACTCTGTATCATAGAGCCCAATGCATATCCGACCAGGAACACATAAGCAGTGAACTCAAGCACGTACACCAAGCTCTTTGGGCTAATGGTTACTCCGACTATACAATCCGCAAAGCTATCACTCAACCCATGAAGAAGAACCCTCTTGAGGAGCCTTTCAAAACCATCACTTTACCCTACATTGCGGGGATCACAAAAAAGATCTCCAAAATCTTGAATAAACACAAGATCCAGGTCCGTTTCAACACATTACATAAAATCCGTGATCTGGTTCCGTCTGTAAAAGATGTGATTCCGGACATACAATACCCTGGTGTCTACAAACTAAGTTGCCTCTGTGGTAGTAGTTACATTGGAGAAACCAAACGCCATGTCTCGGACCGCATTCGTGAACACAAAGCAGACCTTAAACACGGTAGGACCAACACCTCGGCCGTGGCAGATCATTGTTCTAATTCAGTAGGCTCACATGCCATTGACTTTTCCAAGACAGAGGTTCTTTGTAAGCCATCTGGCTTCCATGAGAGATTCGTTCATGAGGCTATCCACATATACAAGCACAGAGACAATTTCAACCGAGAAGATGGATTCTATCTTAGCAATCATTGGAAAGATTTGATAAACCATTTCAGGTCTTAATTGATTGTTCACGCTTACAGTGGCTTTCAGACAGCATACATTATAAAATTTCGTCTCCCCCCCTCCTCTTTTCAGAATATAGATGGATTAGTCCTAAATAAACTGCCAAATCGTTGCGCGTGGCGCTAACGTTTTTATAAATAAATAAATGCGCCGTTTAAAAATAAATTTATGCAAACCAACACACCTGAAGACGACCGTTTGAGTTATGGTCGAAACGTCGTGAGAACTTTTTTATTGTTTTATATATATTTTATTATTTTGTTGTTTCCCTTCAACGTGACTTTACCGAAAAAACTAAGAATATACTCTAAAGACAGTTGAGATGGTTGTCGACTTCAGGAAGAATAGAGCCCCACTCACCCCCATCACCCTGTGCGACTCCCCAGTCAAAACTGTAGAGTCCTTCTGCTTCTTGGGCACTATTCTCTCCCGGGACCTCAAGTGGGAGCTGAACATCAACTCCCTCATTAGAGAGCTCAACAGAGGATGTACTTCCTACGGCAGCTGAAGAAATTCAACCTTCCAAAGACAATGATGGTGCACTTCTATACAGCAATCATTGAATCCATCCTCACCTCCTCCATAACCATCTGGTACGCTGCTGCCACTGCCAAGGACAAGAGCAGACTGCAGCGTATTATCCACACTGCTGAGAAGGTGATTGCCTGCAATCTACCAACCCTCGAGGACCTGCACACCTCGAGGACCATGAGGAGGGCGAGGAAGATTGTGGCCGATTCCTCCCACCCTGGACACACTCTGTTCCAGCTGCTCCTCTCCGGCAGAAGGCTGCGGTCCATCAGGACCAAAACCTCACGCCACAAAAACAGTTTCTTCCCATCCGCTGCTGGCCTCTTTAACAAGGCCAAGGGCTTACACTTGCTTTAACATTTTATCTACAAAATGACACCTTGCCATATTTACACTATGTTACCCTATTTATATTTTTTGTATTTTTAGATTGTATCTTATAGCTACTTTATATTCAATATTTATTCAAAATTTTACATACTTTAGCCCCTTAGTGTTAGTTAGACTTTGTACTTTAGTATAGTTTAGACTTGTATACCACTTATTTTAGATTTAAGTTTACTATATGTTTGATGTATGCACCTTCCTGCCAAAGTAAATTCCTTGTCTGTGCGAACTTTCATGGCGAATAAAACCCCTTTCTGATTCTGATCATCGAATAAATTTGATCAATATTAGATAATTTATGTAATTCACGATGCTGAGTCAATATCAGATGCAATTATTTCATCTAGACAAAACTATAGTGATGCTCTCTCTGTTGGGCTTATAAGTCAAGCCTTATCATGGCTATAGATTTGCTATGCTGCAAGGGTTCTCACTGGAACAAAATATATGGCATGAGACTTATTTGCTGGCATGTCCGAAGTGGCTTCTAGTGGAATATAGAATGTATCATAACATTGTATTGCTGATAGCACAACATAAATATTTTCAGTAAATGAGAAGACATTTTGTGGATACGATCATTCATGAGGCTGCAGGATGGATATGCGCGTTTTTTTGATGCCATAGCAACTCCCAACACGGCTAATTCACGAGATTTCCAGTCAGTTTGACAGGATTGAATGATGTAAACATAGCATATATTTTAGTGAGAAACATTATGATACATTTACATGCAGTAATCTAAGTTGATCTCTACTTCTAGTAACATTCCACTGAAAACGTACAACTTTAGCACTTAGTCAACAAGGTGTAGATAATGTGGAAAACATGTTGTGAGTGACAGTACCTTAACGCTCGCTGTTCTTGCTTGCAGTCTGCTACTTCATTCCCATTGTTTATATACGTTTACAAGAAACCCGTCACCAGGCCAACATAACACAACACAATGTTGCGTGACAATACAAATGATGGCTTTTAACAAGTCAGCTGAATACGCGCAACACATTTCTATAATTGCTAGTAACAAAGCAATGGTTGGTGAGCTTTAATTGCTGTGGGATTATATTCAAGAATTGGGAAAATACTTCCTTAAAACGCGACGGCTATTTTAGAACAGACATGTTCGGACCTGCCTTTTTGTTATTTTAGCAGCAACATATAGATATATATAAACTGTTTAACAAATTAATATATATATTTTGATTTAAAGCTTTCGTGACTGCAGGAATTCATATTCTTGGTTCTTTCGGTAAAGTCACATAGAAGGGAAACAATAAAATAATAAAAATATAAAAGATTATATATGTGTGTCAACCAGTCAATTATTCTTCTTCATGCTCATCATACATTGTCTATCCACTGCTGGATGAAGGCCATCCCATGCCTGACAACTCACAGTCGTGTGATCCCGTGCACATGTCACCTGACTCAAACAGATTATCTTATAGTCCCGAGAAAAAGTTTGTGACCCGCTTTTGATTTTCACATAGTTTACATATTTCAAACCTAAAATGTTATTAGATCTCAATTTAAGTCCTAATAATAGATAAAGATAACCTAATTAAACAAATCACACAAAACGTGATACTCTTTTAACATTAATTATCCTCAAATTATTCTACATTCAATAATCACATATGAAAAATAATGTGAACCTTTAGATTCAGTAACTGGTGACACCCTTTTGAGCAGCAATGACTGCAACTAAGCGTTTTCTGTAACTGCTTAGCAGTCTCTCACATCGTATTTGAGGAATGTTGGCCCATTCCTCCTAATATAACTCCTTTAACACGGTGACATTTGGGGGTTGCCTTGCATGAACAGCTCTCGTCAGGTCCTGCCACAATTTTTCGATGAGGCTTAGGTCTGGACATTGACTAGGCCATTTAAAACGTGGAATTTCTCCTTCTGCAGCCATTCTTTTGTAGATCTGCGTGTATTTTTAGGATCATTGTCTTACTGCAAGACCCACTTTCGGTTCAGCTTTAGCTTAGGGACGGAGGGCCTGACGTTCTCCTCTGGAATATTCTGATACAATGCAGAATTCATGGTTGTGTCAATGGTGGCACACTGTCCAGGACCTGAGGCAGCAAAGCAGCCCCAAACCATCACATTCCCACCACCATGCTTGACAGTTGGGATACGTATTCTTAGTTCTTTCGGTAAAGTCACGTTTAAGGGAAACAAAATAATAAAAAATATATAAAACAATAAAAATTCTCACGACGTTTCGACCATAACACAAACGGTCGTCTTCAGGTGTGTCGGTTTGCATCAATTTATTTATTTTTAAACGGTGTATTTATTTATTTATAATATAAAAAAACGTTAGCGCCATGCGCAGCGATTTGGCAGTTTATTTAGACGGACTAGTCCATCTATGTTCTGAAAAGAGGAGGGGGGAGACGAATTTTTTTTTTAATGTATGCTATCTGAAAGCCACTGTAAGCGTGAACAATCAATTAAGACCTGAAATGGTTTATCAAATCTTTCCAATAATTGCTAAGCCAGAATCCATCTTCTCGGTTGAAATTGTCTCTGTGCTTGTATATGTGGATAGCCTCATGAACGAATCTCTCATGGTAGCCAGATGGCTTACAAAGAACCTCTGTCTTGGAAAAGTCAATGTCATGTGAGCCTACTGAATTATAACAATGATCTGCCAAGGCCGAGGTGTTGGTCCTACCGTGTTTAAGGTCTGCTTTGTGTTCACGAATGCGGTCCGAGACATGGCGTTTGGTTTCTCCAATGTAACTACTACCACAGAGGCAACTTAGTTTGTAGACACCAGGGTATTGTATGTCCGGAATCACATCTTTTACAGACGGAACCAGATCACGGATTTTATGTAATGTGTTGAAACGGACCTGGATCTTGTGTTTATTCAAGATTTTGGAGATCTTTTTTGTGATCCTCGCAATGTAGGGTAAAGTGATGGTTTTGAAAGGCTCCTCAAGAGGGTCCTTCTTCATGGTTTGAGTGATAGCTTTGCGGATTGTATAGTCGGAGTAACCATTAGCCTTAAGAGCTTGGTGTACGTGCTTGAGTTCACTGCCTATGTGTTCCTGGTCGGATATGCATTGGGCTCTATGATACAGAGTCTTGATGAGAGAATTCTTCTGTGATGGATGGTGGTGGGAATCCGGTTTCAGATAAGCATCCGTATGGGTAGCTTTCCTGTAGACAGAGTGGCTCATTAAACCATCAGGTCTCTTTTTAATTAGGACATCCAAAACATAACGTTTCTCATTAAGGCCAAAAAGTTCTACCTTTTGTCTTATCTGTCTAGAGAACATTGTTCCAGAAGTCCTGTGGATAATTTATTTGTATTGGCCTTATATAAATATGAAATAGAATAGAAAATAACTTCACACGGGCAGCAATGCTCTTTTTATATAGCAGTGGTATTCTCCTTGCTGTCCTTTCATAGACACCTTTTTTGTTGAATCTTTATCTGATGGTTGAGTGATGAACACTCACATTAGCCAAGTCGAGATTTCCTGCAGATCATTGGATGTTTCTCTGGTGTTCTTTGTGACTTCCTTGAAGATTTTCCGGTTTGTTCTTAGAGAGATTTTGGTAAGACGACCGCTCCTGGGTAGTGACTGTGGTCTTGAACTTTCTCCATTTGTAGACTATCTGTCTGATAGTGGATTGGTGGAGCCCCAAATCCATATAAATGGTTTTGCCACCCTTTTCTCTGAAGTCCTCAGAGATTTATTTTGATCGTGGCATGACTTGGCTCCACACACCTGAATGATGAAGCCCAAACTCACAAGTTTATTATCTTTATATAGGGTGGGGCATCCCTCAAACTCACCCCTGAAGCTCTACCTAATTATTTAAACACCTGATTCTAATTAGTCCCTGAATTGAGCTTAATAAAGTCAAGGGTTCACTTACTTTTTCACATACCCTGAATTTAATTACTCATTGTTTGTTTAATGCGAACATCGTTTTGTTTCAAAAGACATGGAATTGGTTCATATAAACCCCTTTGCATGTTTAAGATAATACCGGTTTTGACTCAAGAAGGCTATCATTGTAAAAACTATGGATTTTCCATAATTATCATTGGGGTTCACAAACTTTTTCTCGGCACTTTAACTCATATCACCATCTTTGTGTTGATTTATAAATTTCGGTACATTTTCGTCTCTTGTCTTGTCCATTATTCCTTCTATCCCATCAGAACCTGCCGCCTTTCCAGTTGGGGACACTGCCATGGCTTCCTGTAATTCCTGGATGGTGATTGGCCTACTCAGCTCTGCGCCGAAGTCTGAGAACAGATTGGTAAGGGACATTTTCGCTAAGAAAGTATCAATATCCTCTTCTGATGGGGATTCAGAGGTATACAGGATTTAATAGCATTTCCTTAAACGTGTATTTATCTGTCCACACCTGGTTGTTGACGGATCATTCCTACTTCGGATAGATGCAATGAGTGGTTTCAGCGGATTTGACTATCCTTGCAATAGTCTGGCAGTGTTAGGGAGGGGTTGTGGAAAGGCAGTCTCGTTATTCTGAAGAGTAAGCATGTTTGGTAATTTAACAACCTTCCCAGCTCCACTTACATGCCGTATATTTTCTTCAGGGTCTCTGGGCACTAAGTTGCTTCATGACTCTCATGGAAACTAACGAGGCTCTCCTCCAGTTGCGGTTGCTTTTCCCGGATTTTTCTGTGCCTATGGGCTCTCTTTTTTTATTAGCATGCCCCAGATATATGCTTTATGTCCCACATTATTTGTGGAGAGGAGAACGGGTCCTCCAGGGGTCGATCAACTGGTATAGTGACTTTATTTCGGCTAAATGGAGTCTCTGTGTGGCATTCTGGTTCGAGGTGGACGCATGTGATATGTCACCAGTGGAGTCTTGGAACAGATTCTAGTCCCCTCCCACAATGATCTCCTCAATAATTTTCTTGATCAGGGCTGCGATAGCAGAGAATTGTTTCGAATTAATAGGGGTGGATTGTACACACTCAACAGTGCTATCTCACTTCCTTGGTGTTTTCTTACGAGAAAATAAAGTATTTACCTTGGGGGTCGAGAGTGTCTGGGGCGTTATTAATAAAAAAAGAAAATTAAAATCGCTATGCCTCTACTACCAGAAGTATATGCAGCATGAGAAACACGTCCAACCCAGTTCCTTTAAAGTTTTGATGCTTCTGATTGTGAGAGGTGCGTTTTTTGTAGGAGAGCGATATCTGCCCTATGTTTGCTCAGGAAGGAAAGGATGCATTGTCTCTTAATTGGATGATTTAGGCCGTTAACATTGAGGGAGATTGTTTAAGTTGACCACCGACGAGGAAGCAATCGTGGTTGTCCAAGGGTGGGAGAGGGGTACTGGGCCCATGGCATCAGCCATTTTTATTGAGAGCGGACCAGGGGGGGGAGAGGGAGGTACACGTGATGATTATTTGTTGCTGCATAGGGGGAAATCAGGGAAAGGAAAACCCACGTAACATAAAAAAAATGTTCCACGGGCTCAATCCTGGGGGGGAGGGGGGGATGGTGTGATGACCACTCCCAACCCTCCTTGCAGCAGGTTGTTAATCGCCACCCCTAAATTCCCCACAATTACACACTCCATTTTTTAAATATATTCCTCGACGCCACCGTTCCCATTGACTGTATGATATGTTCCCCTCCCCTGCCTTGCACACCCCCTCCTCAACATCCTCCCTCCGTATTACTCTCCTCTGCCTCCTTTTTTTCATCCTCACCGGACATCCATCATTTTGTACTCACCTATCCCACCTCGCCCTTCTTGTTTTCTCTCCCCCTTACTCCTTTGGCCCTCTCACCTCTTGGCAGAACCCGCTTCAAGGCACCGAGGGCTCCTCTTGGGGACCCTTGCCTCAGG